AAAGAAGGAAAAAAGAGAGCGAGAGAGAAAGATCGTAATAGATTCGCCAAAAAAAGATCGATATTTCGGCTTCTTGCAAAACTCGTTTTTAGCCATTCTTATGCTAATTAGCCGAAAACTAGTCCAAAGAAGAGGAATTGGTGAAAAATGCGGCTTTTTCGCTACTTGCCAGTCGTCACCAAAGGGTTAAGGCTGTCCGCAAATACCTTGCATACATTCCAGTATCCTCTTTTCAAAAACGCCTGCCTTCTCCTCGGATGTTCCTTAGGGCCTGTTAACATGGAGATGGGGGACCCCGGGTTGGTGAGGTGACCCGCTTAGGTGGGGTAACCCGCCTGTCCAAATAATCTCTCAATTTAATTTGATCATGTGTACATGATAGGTGGGGTGATTAGTCACATGTTACCTCACCTATCTGGGGTCCCCCACCTCCATGTAAACAGGCCCTAAAACGGGGAACGAGAACGGAGAATGGTAGTCTGCTACACAGCCGTTTTTAGAGTCGTCACTGGGGAGGAGCGTTGCGTGACGACCCTAAAAACTATTGTGCAGCAGACTAGGAGAATGGGAATTGAAGTTGCTGAAAGGGTTATGGTTCAAGTTAGGTTTTGTTCTCATTTTTCATTTTCCCGTTCCCCGCTCCACGTTGTAGTAACATGCCCTCCTACTCCAAGCCCTTTAACGCAGCTTTCTCCTTACTATCACCAGGGCCAGAGAAAAATTGTGGGGGTTTTGGGAAGCCATGTAAGGCGAAGGGGGTATTTTTATTTGATAGTCCAAAAGGGTTAGATAATGTACGAGTTTTAATTAAAAGTCAAGGGGTGTCTGTGTGTGTTGGGGGGGATTGTTCTTCCTCTCTATGGAGAGGGTCCCCCGGCAAAAAAAGAAAAAAAGCTCGGTAGGCGGATAAGATGAACAAGCGGATCGATGAAACCTAAACAGCATAACTGAACAATTGTTACATTCAACTTTTACTTTTATTCCATTATACCATATCATAAGTAGGAGAATTGCACCAGGCAATTCACAGCTGAAGGAATAATCCGACTTAGGAAGCAAAGTACAAAGAACAAACGTACGCTCACAGAGCATAATAAACGATCCTAAGTACTTCTTACACAAATCAATAATTGCACGATAATAAAGTTCCATTAACTAATGATCCTGGTGAGAAGGGACGCAATTTCTTTTGTTATAGCGCAATACGCTTTCCTCACTTATAGGATGTTTTCATGTTTACACAGAGAATGCGTAAACCTACAAAAAGTCAGTCTACGAAATAAAATGTATTTTAACTCCATTTTTTAACGACGTTTTTTTGTGTTTAATGATTTCAACCAATCGCAAGAATTGAAAACAATAGCCAAGAGGAGTCTGTGTTACTTAGGCTCAGAAGAGATTTTGTTATAAGAAAGTTGCTTAGAAAACAAGGGATTAATATACATGCTTCCAAGATTTCGTAAAATTTGATGTTTAAACCAATCAGAAGTGTAGTAGAGACAATAGTTAAGATAGCACCTTTGCATTCCGACGTGTTCATTGCGATTGGTTCTTTCCTTCTTATCTGGACCATTAATTAACAGTTTGTATTTGTATAGTAAGATTGGTTTGACCAAACGAGTTGATGCGGTAGATTGGTCACGGTAGGGAGATAGAGAAGCTCACGTCTCGAGTGCTAGCCCTCCGTCAGAGCAATCGTCACCTCCTCTATCGTCAACAACTTTGATAAAAGCAACTCTTTGAATTTCACGCCCCCACCGACGCCACTCTACATTTCTTTAGAAACTAACCGCTACATTCATTTGTTTTCGAATTGTAGTTTGGCAAAAGGATGTCTGATCAACAACTATTCTACATCATGTCAGAACTTTTCAGCAGCTATGATTGGTTGGAACTTGCAACCAATCAGAAGAAACGTTTAACTTGGAGGTCACACATCCTCTAGTTTCTTGGACTAAAAAAACAAACATATCTTCAATGTACACTGTAGCTATCATACAGTTGGGCCTGCAGTTAATTTTCTTGTTTTAAAACGGCATGGAAACAAGGTTAACAGATTTATGATGTAATCCCCTTTCACCTTGATTTCATGTCAAAAACGCTACAAACTGCAATAACGGCTAATTATTGGCAAGTTGTGTTAGTTTCAAAGCGTCTCAAGGATTAAGTAAAGCTTAACCGTATGTCTGTTTCTGAACTAAGCTTAGAAATTACATATTATGTAATAATTGCATTCACTCCTTCAGAAATACAACAGCAGCGCAAGACAAAAAGTACAGAAATGCGGCCATCAGTCACTTGCTAAATTATTGTAGCTCCTAAACCACTGGTACACCACCAGGTACTGTACATTAATATTGAAACTTTCATTCAAATAAACTGCAAAACGCATTTAAAAAGCTGGCCATAAGTTTGTCAGTAATTAACTGCTAAGCATATTTTTAACAATTTATTACTCTCCACTTGATTAAGCCATAGTTAATAGAGGATACTGGTTATGAAAGGCTACAAACATCAAAGATAAGATAGTGCTGGAGTTTATGTTGGAAGCTCCCCACAACGGTGCTTAATACTTTGTTTTTTGCCCACAAATTGAAATGGAATGAATTAAAGCAGCGTTTTTATTGGTCAATAAGATCAAAATAATAGGAATGCTGAATGCTGTGCACCTTCAAGTCCACAAAACCATATAACAAAGGCGTCAGATAGGCTTCATGGCCATTCCACTTAATTAACTATGACTCAGCTTTTATAATTCACCAACGATTCGAAAACACCAACAAATATTTTTTGCAGAATTCTTCTTTCTTAACCTTTTTTGGGGTTGAGTAACACGTTTTTGCAAAGCATGGAAATAACTTGCAAAATGCAAATCTAAGAAATAATAATATTATTCCACATGCTTTCAATTAATATTACATCTATTGTTAACTACAAGATAAGTTATTTACACTCATTACAACAACTTAAATGCAATCAATTCCCTTCTCTGAACAAATGGTAAATATTTATAAACCTATAGTTTCAATTTAAAATTGCTTGAAAAGTAATAATACTTGTAGGACGGGAATGCAATTTTTATTGACAACGCGTGTTGTATGCAACTGGAAAAGATGTCTTTTTTATTCTGATGGACTTATGGAACGTATATTCACAAGCTTAATAAAATTTGAGTATTTTTTTTAAAAAAGGTGGAACTTCACAAGCACAAGGATCACAGCATTGGGCCACCATCAGTCCATGAAAAAATGGGGGTGTGGAATGAGGTGCTAACTGACTTTTGATGTAATGTTAAATTCTCCTGTTGACCCACAGGCAAATGCAAGGAGAATCTAACCTTTAATCAGCAGTCATTTCAAACGTTTTTCCACACACCCGTTTCTCCCTTTCACTCCCAGTACACAAAATATACATCAAAAAAGTGCTAAGGGACAAGTAGTTCCAACACAGTTATGTCCACCAATTTGTTTTAAACTTAATGATAATCCACATAAGTATGTAGTATGTAGTACTGCAGACCATAGAACTGCGAGCCTGAGAAAACAACTGACATCTTGTGATGCCGCAACTGGCTTCCCTGTCAAATGACACCTATGGAACGACTGCAGAAATTCCATACTGATGAAACGTCAATACCAAGATCTGGGTAGTGCTTCTGATTAGTTGAACCACACTTCCCTAGCAGCACAACCAATCAGAAGGCCATTTCTCAGATTTTGGTATGTTATTTTCGCCCTTGTTTCTCAGACGTCATTTTGCGGGGAAACCAGTGGTGGCGTTACAAAATGTTGGCTGTTTTCTCGATCACATTACAGAACTGCAGAAATGGAGATTTTTGTGTAGCCAAGTGCTGGAGAAAGGTGCTGAGACTGTTGGTGCATTATTCAAGCAGCTGCTATTTTAAAAACTCCTGCAATACCAGGCAAAAAGTCATCTCAAGGCTCTGCTCTAGGAAAAAATGAGGGGAACCCAGCACTTGAAACCTGTGAAATACAGGGTGCCCAGCATGTATAATTTATGAAAAAAGATCTTCTTGTCATTCAAGAGCATAAAAAAGGTGTCAAGGGCTACCACTCATTGCTAGAGCTTAGCCTGCAGCAGATTGGCGAACCCAACCCTGCACGGCTTATATCATTGTCTGTTAAAATGGTCACACTATGGTGAATCATCCACAGAATAAAAAAAACCTCTGAGAGTGAAAGGCTGAAGTATAAGCTGGATATTGATTTTAGCGTTTAACGTATTTTGAGTGAGGCACGACAGCCCAAAGCTGTACAAGGATGACTGTGAAGTCCCAAAGCAAAGAATGAAAAATAACCAAAACAAAATTTAAAAAAAAAAATACTTAAAGCATAATTTTATGTACAGTTTCTCAAACTCTAGGTTGATTCTCACACTTGCCTATTAAAAAAGCTAACTGCTACATTACCTCAGCGTAGCTTTAATGAAGCTTCTGGAGGCAAGAACTCTTTCTGGAAGAGATAATTTGATAATCTTCCAAACAAAAGGCTTGAATAGTTGCTGCTTGGCAATGGCAGCATCTTTGGCAGCACTTAAGTTGTGAACTCCAGGTGCAAAATGCCAAAATTCCAGTCCTTCTCTGGAGGCGTAGTGTATAATATATCAGACTAAAATATCTAGGCGATCTTAGTGAAAATCTCCACACATGCAGTGACCACAGAACCAATTCCTCCTATTAAATAACTGCAATATAACAACAGGTTACAAAACTTGAGTGGAGCTAATAATTTCCAACATGCACTGCTCTGCTGACCTTGACCTTATGTGATGCTCTTTCCCTTTAATATTGACTTGTGCTGTGATCTCCTGCTTGCGTGGTAAAAATGAAGTTACTAAAATTTGATGATGGTGCAGTTTTGATAATCTGCTACATAGCTCCATGGAAAAGGTATTCCTGGCTGACTGACCAGGCAAGCCACACCTGGAGCTTCCATTATCACAAGTCATTCTAACAGAACGTCATTTGAAAAAGAAAATTTTCAGTGCCGCTTCATGTGAAGTGACAGATGATCCGACCTCGAAAAGCATCTGTCACAGTGCGAGCATTTAAAAGGTTTTGCACCAGTATGTTTTCTGTAGTGTCTAGTGAGTTCATCAGAGCGTGCAAATCGCCATGAACAGCCCTCCCAGGAGCACTTGTATGGTTTTTCTCCTGTGTGGGTACGCCTGTGCGCTTTAAGATGTGAGCTTTTGGTGTAAACTTTAGAACAGCCTTCATAATCACATTTGTGAATCCTTCTTCTTTTCATATGATCCGTTTTTCTGGAAAAGAGCAAAACCCATCACTAGAACCATGCATTTGATAATAGAATAACATTATAACTCTTCTTTAAAATGAGACAAATCCTAATATTTGCAGGCCACCAGCTGCTTTTGGTTCTAAGAATGCAAGGTCATACAATTATAGGTCACTTGTGTCTCTTGCAAACTTTTGAATTTACCAGTAGGCGTTTGTGCAGCAGATACCAAGAACAACAATATTATAATATTCCAACCTCATGTACACACTTCTTATAACACAGTAATGAACCACATCTAAATAAAGCACTTGCAATGAATTTTTCTATTGTTTGAATTCCAGAGTGCACTTTACAAAAACAAAAATGTATTTATGACCAGTCAAAAGCAGATGCAGTGAATAATCTATTGCTTAAGAAATTCCAATAAATTGTGAGCTTAAACATGACAAAAATGCACTAAAAATTGCAAAGAAAGTTGCAGAGACAATTGCATGTGTAAACTGACCTTTAATAAGCCCTGGGTCAGGGTTTTTAATGGTTGTTAGATACTTACTCAGTTTTTCTACTTTCTCTTCCAGTGCTGACAGTTGGCTCACTCCTAAAACAAGAACACCACAGCAATTTTACCAAAACCTTTCTGTAACTGCAACCTTGATGCATTTGAAAGTGTTGTGACCAGCACACGCAGGTCAATTTGTATTTGTATGACCGTGGCAGGATTAGCTCAGTCGGTAGAGCGTTTGACTGCAGAGCGGGAGGTCGCGGGTTCGATTCCCGGGGCCGGACCATTACTCAGGGTCTTAAAATGACTGAGAAATGAAGGTACTTCCTTTGCACTGCAAGCGGCGAGACCTTCGCGTGGCTCGGATGACCACATAAAATGGTGGTCCTGTCTCCATTAGGAGACGTAAAAATAGTGTCCCCAATTAGCACTTTCGTGCTAAATACATTAACACTCAAATAAAAAGTGCATTTTTTTTTCTACACATGAACAAACTAGAAGATATAAACTTCTTTAGATTTTGGCAGTATACAGTGTCAGCAGTTTAGCTTATTAAGAGATAAGGCCCGGAACTTGGGATGAATAAATGGCCAGTCAGAAACAGGGAAATCAAATGCTTCTGGTTCAATACCATATTTACTCAAAAGAGTGCAGTTCTCACACAATCACTGCACCACATCCTCCAAGCAACAACATGGTACCAAAAAGGAAAGAAAATTAATTTTGGGTAGTAAGTTGTCATCCATCAACCCGTTCGTTGTTTTTTCTTCCTGTGATTAAGTTAACTTTATTATATAGATACTGATGAAAAACCAGGATTTTTCCTTTTACTAAAAAATCATATCCTCATCACGCACAGTGAAGATACTATCTTTATCTCTCACGTGTGAGGATATTTGTGTCGCCAAGGTTACTAACATATGCTTTTGCTGTTAAAGAATTTTTCTCTTTTTCATTAGAATTTAGACATTTTGGAACAGAAAATATAAGTATTATTGTCTTTATTTCTCCTTTATAACTTTATAACTTCGCTCACTTGTGAGAGATACTTTCAGCACTCGAAGATAAATTCGTATTCCTGCGCGGCCATGTAATATCCTCTATTTATTCTACTTACTCATCAAAGAGTACAGCAGGAGGTGAGTGTGTTCTGTGCTCATAATCTTCATCTTCCATCATGTATTCTTCTTTTAGGTGATCTCCTGGAGAGACGATAACTGTGGGTGGGTTGTCTGTGCCGTTACAGCGTCCTCCATATCTACTGGGAGACGCCTCTCGAACCTGACAAAAGTCAACAGACTGAAAGATCAATTTAAAGTGAATCACCCTTCTGTACCTTTTTTTCACACCTTAAATGGCTGATGACCTATGAAAACCTATAGGCCCCACTCTGACAGCACTTCGCAGATTTGACTATTGTGGGTCATAACTGAAAACTTTAAGTTTCAAAAGTGACCAACATCAATAGATTTTCTTCTAACAGTTTCAATAGATAATCGAGATAATTTATTACATCATCCCTAAATGACAAATGGTTTGATCATTTAAAAAAATTCTCCCAACTTTAGAATTCTTCAAGGAAATGTATGGTGATTAGTCTGGAGAATTTGCATGTGGATATTAGGGCTGACGGGGTTAACCCACCTTATATTCATCATCATCTGTCGTAACAACTCGAATAACTGTAGTTCGTTCAATGTGCCCATCTGGATCAAGCTGTGATAAAAAAGGAAAACATTTTACTTGTTTACTCCGTAAATTGAACCCCTCCTAAACTATGGCAGTTCTTTATAGCAGTTCTTTATGCATAGCAGTATTTTACTTTAAGGGGCCCAACTGGCCACCAAGCACTTGGGTTAAATTTTAGCCTAAGAACGAATACCAAACTCTACAAAAAACTTTTCCTTGGGTTTGCTTTGCAAATCAAAGGGAGAATTCAGAGTAACATCACTGAGTGCCATATCCCAATTTAACACCCATGTTAAATGTATGTGTTAATCCTTTAAAACCCCAACAGTGACCTGCATATAATTTCTCCTTAGGACATCACTGCCTAACCAGACAAATATGATGAGAATTAAGGAATTTATTATATCCATTTTTGAAATCACTGATGATCCCTGCAATCTGATTAATTCACAAATCACACTACTTTTTGCTCTAAATCACATCTATTCTAAATTGCGCCATTCATGTTCTAAATCAGATCATTTCTGTTTTAAATTGCACCATTTTTGCTCTATATCACATCATTTCTGTTTCGAACACAAAATGAGATGTAAAAGGCTTTTTGTTTCTGCTTTTCAACAAACCGGCTACTTGATCAATTAAGTATTGGTACTGACTGAATTCTGCCATTTCAAAATCGCTGTAATAAAGTGGCAAATATTGAACTTCATGTTGTGCAATTTTGGTCTGAAATCATACTTGTGATTTCAAATTGAACTGATTTTGAAATCACTCGTATGATTTCAGACCAAACTGCACTCCAATCAGTTCAGTTACCATTATTTATCACCATGTGCAAGGTTGTCATAAATTCTGGGCAGCAGGTATACATTTCCACTCCTCCAAGCTCAGTTCCATAATGTATCGAGGGTCGAGTCAATCCAAGTATTTGTAATGATTGATTATGAAATCTCAGCTCTGACTTCACACACATGCACATTGTAGAATTACAACAAAACCAATAAAAATACAAACCTGTATCACATGAGGTTGAGAAAGACAATTTGCAGAACTGAAAATAAAATAAAATTTTCTTAGAGTGTCAACTTACAATAGTTGCAAGAATACGGGTATAGCAAAAACAGAATCTAAATCATGTTATAATAATCACCATCATCAGAAAAATAGTAAGCAATAGAAAATAAAAGTAAAAGAAGATGAAGACAGAACAGAAAACAGAACTTTGTAAGGAATCTATCTCAGAAACTGAAACATGAAGAACCAGAACAAAACCACTTGACTGTGAAAATCACCTTATAATTAGCTACTATAACAGGTTGAACAGGGTGCAAAGAAACTGAGTCTTACAGCTTGCCATTCAGGCAAGCTGTAGCTAGCACACACTAGCCCAAAAGTCATTTCAACTACCCCCCAAAAAATGTCTGATGAGCATTGGTTAAAGTTCTTCTGTAATTTGAATTCCCCCAAAACACCTCATTTGCCCATCCAGCAAGTTAAATGTAAGAACAGAAATCACCAGCCCGTTAGCAAAATCCACTAGCCCTGGGCTATCGGACACTACTTTCTTTGCATGGAAAATAACGACAAGAAGTTAAATTTTCTCACACGTCTAAAAAACACCCACATTAAAGGGAAAACACTTTCCAAAAAGCTTCCAACTCAACATGTGCAAAGACAAACATATGCAGTGATTCATCACTGACGCATATTCAGGACGAAAAACTAATTTAAAACAGTTGTTTTCTCAATGGTTGACTTATCAAAAACCTCCACACCACAAATCAGTTACTCTTAATTTCCATGGCAAGAGTATATGTTGTCACTTAGAGCATGGACAAAATGAGAAATCTTTTCTTCTGCATAGCCCATGTGACAGCACATGTAAGTCCATCAAGATTGAGCAACAGATCGCAACCATACATTTGGTCAACTAAGGTTACATTATTAAAAAAGCCTCACTAGTACATTTGCACATAAAGCCCAACATGCATTCACAATAGTGTCTGTCCCCATCAGGGTTGTCACTAAGATTTCAAGTTGCCAGGTAAATACAACAAGTAGGCCGGGTATCAAACAGCTACGGATTTCTTTTGGTTCCATTTTTCTTCTGTTTTCCAATGAAAGTAGCTGAGGACCACATTCATACAAGCCGGGGGAAATCCGTGGCCCCGGGTTCTTAACATTAGCCCTGCCCTACACTGTGTTCCCTAACAGTCACCCATATCTATGTTGTTCTTATTATCATAATTATTTTCTCATTACTATCCAGCATTTATTTCAAAATTGGCTTGATGGACCCAGCATTTCATTGAATGTGCAGTTTTGTAAGCTGTGCTGTGTTTTTAAGAAAGGGTTGTAATCCTTTTCCTTGACAGCTGTGTAACTTGCCCTTACATTGTAAGCTTGCCATAACATATGCTTGAAAGACTTCTTTACAACTTCCTCTTTTGTACAAATGTGTCATTCCAGAAAATATCCATACCACCCCCACAGAAGGGCTGGTAAAAAATCAGCCAAAATCAGCCCCTAAAATTTAACCCCTGTCCCCTGGGGAATTTCCAAAATTGTCGCACACCCCCTGGAATTATTGCTATCTCTGAACAAATAAGTATAGTTTTGATCACTAGGGTGCCAACGTTTGTGAGCTTCATGTACTGGTATTTTCTGTAAAATTCTATAACAGATCAGCAAATTCCTTATGCGAACTCCTCATGCGCTCAAGTCACGAACAAAATTAATCTTGTGAGTTTCATGTATTTCTGTTGAATTCTACGACAGATAAGCAAACTCCTTATTTGCTCAAGTCACGAACAAATTGTTCAACAAGTTGTTAGCCACACGCAACTGAAATGCAAGGTTGCCTGGGAAATATAACCGTACTTTTCTCTCACTGCATAAAGAAGAAAGCAACACTTGAAGAAGTATAAACAAAGAGATCAGGACCTCGTCCCACAGCAAGGCAGTGTGAGTATTTTTTTTGAACACAAAGCCCAAGCCATTCAAATGGATGACAATTTTTTTTTTGAACGGATATCCCCAACCATTCAAACGGATACCAAATCCACTCGAACAGCTATTCGTTCAAAGATGGCAAACTGTAAGGAACGTTATCGCATGAGAGATCACGCCAAGGGACTGACAAATATCTTTGCTACAATCATTAATCCTTATGTTTAGTAGCTCTTTACAGGATTGTCAGAAAGTCTTGAAGTAGACGGCTGAGTTGTCAAAGTAAGCGGCCAGTCCAGGGATATTTCATTTAAAAAAAGGCCATCCGTAAAGATGCCAAGCAGAGTGGCCAGCAGATAGGTGGTGATTTTTGCCGGAAGCCGGCTACTTTTGACAACCTTGTCTTTAACTCTTGTCGTGTTTAACACCTTTGCAAATAAATTGTCGTGGTAATTTTTTGTTGTTGTTACTCTCTTACGCGTCACAAGATCCCTCTGGAAATATTTCCCTACGGTGCACCCCCCTTCCCACTGGGAAATTAGGCTAATTGACCCCCCCCCCTCCCTTGCCCCTGGGAAATCCTATCCCTTCCATTGGGTGGTATGCACATTTTCTGGAACCACAAAATAAGACCCAGCATTTAATCAAGAAAAAAACGTACCATACACTGTACATTAGTGTGCATCTCTGGTTAATAAGACATTCAGGTCACGAGAAAATAAAAGATGGTAACCTCAAATGTAACACATCTTGACCCAGTTCCTTGATTGGATGGATGGTAACTTTGAACAGCAAATTAAGTCAACAAATTCTGATGTCATAGAAGATTAAACAGAATCCAAAACTTGAGTTATTTGCCAACACATTTCTCACAAACTTGGCTGTATGCAGCCACAATTAATGTGGGTTGACCAGCCTCTGTGGTACACAAATGTGGTGGTGCCAAAAAAAACTACACATCTGGATAAATACTTTGGTTGTCCAGGTGACAGATTCTCGGCTTTGGTGCACAAATAAAAATTCATATGGAAACTTCTCCTAATACTTCAACTATGCAAAAGGCTTCACGTCACAGGCATATTTTGTTCGCTGTGGCTATATGGCCAGTAACTGGGCAAGGTTTTCAAAACACTAAATGGCCAGCAGTCATATATTATCAGTAAATTTCACAAAATCGAAAAATTCTAGCTAATCTAAACTATCATATGTTGATTAAGACAGGTCAAGCGATCCTGAAATGCTTTATAGATCTCAAGTCTAGTGTTTGGTTTACGCTGGGCTCAGAAGACAAAACCGTGTTTTGTGACACTTAGAACTTTTTTCAGCTCGACTGCCGGTCAAGGTTTTCAAAACACTAAATGACCAGCAGTGCTATATTCTCAGTAAATTTCACAACATCGAAAAATCCCAGCTAATCTAAATTATCATATGTCGATTAAGAAAAGTCAAGCGATCCTGAAATGCTTTATAGATCTCAAGTATAGTGTTTAAGTTAAGCTGGGCTCAGAAGACGAAACCATGTTTTGTGACACTTAGAACTGTTTTCAGCTCGACTGCCAGTCAAGCTAAGGTTTTCAAAACACTAAATGACCCGCAGTGCTATATTCTCAGTGAGTAAATTTCACAACATCGAAAAATCCCAGCTAATCTAAATTATCATATGTTGATTAAGGAAAGTCAAGCGATCCTGAAATGCTTTATAGATCTCAAGTATAGCGATTGGTTTACGCTAGGCTCAGAAGACGAAACCAATATATTGTTTTGTGACACTTAGAACTTTTTTCAGCATGAATGCTGGTTAAGGTTTTCAAAACACTAAATGACCCTCAGTCCTATATTCTCCGTAAATTTCACAAATCGAAATAATCCAGCTAAACCAAACTATCATATGTCGATTAAGAAAAGTCAAGCAAAGCGTACTGAGAATATAGGACTGCCGGTCATTTAGTGTTTTGAAAACTTTGACCGGCAGTCGAGCTGAAAAAAGTTCTAAGTGTCACAAAACATGGTTTCGTCTTCTGAGCCCAGCGTAAACCAAACGCTATACTTGAGACCTATAAAGCGTTTCAGGATTGCTTGACTTTTCTTAATCGACATATGATAATTTAGATTATCTGGGATTTTTCGATTTTGTGAAATTTACTGAGAATATAAGACTGCCAGTCATTTAGTGTTTTGAAAACCTCGACCGGTTACCGGCCATATAGCCACAGCGATTTTGTTTAACATACGTGACCAGCCTTGCTTTATGTACATCACAAATAAGTATTATAATCCTGAATCAAAATGCACTGTTTTTCAAACCAAACACTTTCAAGCTAAATTTAGAAGGACTTTTACACAATAAAAAACTCATTCTATCTGATATTTCGATGCCATTACATGAAGACAACTGTAATTTCCTCTGCAGGGTGGAGTGCAAACATTTAAAACTTTGGGGTGTGGTATTTAAGCTAAAAAAATCAAAATATAGCTCAGGAACAGTGAACTGTGTACTGCAGAAAAAAAGAGGTTGATTTCAATGTTAAGAAAACTCAGAGCTATTTTGGGTAAAGAATTTTTTCCTAGGAAAGTAGCTTAGAAAGCTACCTGGAACGTAAGGTGTACTCACTGAATCTGTTTGGTTCAGAAACAGCAAATTTCAACAACAAAGTACAGTGTTCCACTAATCTATAATATATCCTCTGTCGTCCTATTATTTTTTCAAACAGCCTTTCTTAAAAGAATACAAGTGATGATGGAAGACAATAAAGTTCTCTGTTATCAGCCCAGACAGGTCACAGGTTCATGAAAAATCAACTTCCTCTTTCAGGAATACGAAAGGAATTGAAGTTGCGGAAAATATTATAACAAAAAAAATAAAATGACTTGCGTCGATTCTGTGCGACATAGGGTACGAACAGCGTCTTAAGTGATCGTCTTTTCAGACAGAAGTAAAGTTTTAATCCACTTCCTTCTGCGAATAAAAAAGCTAGAAATTGCAAAAACTTCGGTGCCACAAGAAGTGTCTACACCTCAAAAACATTGGATGAGCGCGTAAGATTGATTTTACTTTCCTACGGGAAAATTATCTAGATCTGTTGCTATATAACAGAATAGTAGCTGAGACAGAAAAAATACTCTAGACGAAAATCATGAACATTTTTCTCATCGAACTTCAAACGTGAGGAGAATTATGCTCACTTGCGCAGCACTAATATCAACCAAGCAAAGAATTACGTAAAGCTGCGTAAAGATTACGCTTTCGCGGGCCAGATCTTTAAATTGAAAAAGCAGATTTCTTTCCTTCCGAGGACATATAATCTCTAGACGGTCAGGAAGCACAAAGAAATCGCTGTAACAGTCTGCGATGCGTACAAACGAATCGAATTCCCCCATGGAATTTGAAGGATTCCCCGTTTCCTGTTTGTAAAATATCCCAAAACTATGGTCGTAAGTAATTATCCTCAATATTGGGGCTGAAAATTGCGAAGAAAAGAATACATGGAAATGGTTTTTTCGTCTGGTAATATCGGTAGGACGAATTTGCACAAAATGTAGCTTTGAACAAACAGCTAAATTGTCCGAAAGTACTTAGGGCTTCTTCGAGGTCCCTGCATCGGCAAATTTCGCCGGCACACAACACAACGCGGGGAGCAAAAGAATATAAATGTTCCTAGTTCCTTCAGAGACGTGTCTGTCGTCCACATTCGCTTCAAGTTTAAAGAATTCAAACTTTCCTTACCCAGAAATTTGGTTGCAAGCTTCACAGGTGCCTCTTTCCTCTGAAAAAACGGGAAAGACAGAAAAGATTTAAGTTTGTGAATTAAAGACATCGCATCACAAAGCCATTGTCTTCTGTGGCCGAGGAACACTGCGTGTACACAGTGAAAATTTTGCTACATCGCTCACCTTCAAGAAGAGAAGCATCAAACTGACAAGCCTGATCTTGAGTTTTCTTGGCTCTTTTCTGTATCGTACGTGTGTGCGTCGAACCTTCTTCGTTCGACGCCATGTTATTTCTGGTAGCTAAACACGGCGACCACACCCGAGCAAAGCCAATACACCGACCGCTCTTCCCTAGGGTGGGGTGGGGGGTGGAGACTTATCACGTCCACTAGGGAGTGGCCAGGAAAGAATTTTTCACGTTTTTAGGACTTTTTCTTGTCCCACGGCAAAAGCAGATCACATTTATGGTAGACTTCTCTAATCACGGATCGACTTTCGCTTTTCAGCACTCTCCAAAGAAGTTCGTGAATGCACAATAAAATTCAAATTCACTCGAAAATGAATTTCTTTAGCTTCTTTACCATAATTGATTTAGGCACCGCCCTTCGAGGGGCGTGTCTTTCTCTGATTGGTCAGGAGAACAAAACTTTTTAAAACATCGCTTAACCTTACAAACAAAGACGAGGCGCTGTTTTATAGCTGCGATATAAAGATTTTGCCGGGGAACCAAAAGAAAAAAATTGAAATCAGAAATCACTTTATACAATTGATTTGTTTTAAACTGATCAGTTATATAATATTTCAGTTGTTTCTGTGCCTCCTGGTTTTTTAAAATGTCTTCATATGTAATGTCTGAAGTATTTTAGCACTGAAAACTTATTCAAAGCGCGTATCAGTTTCATAGCAACCAAATCTCTCGCAAAAGCCTGAAAAATAAAACCCCCGCATTAAACCACAACGTTTTATCGCGTCTAAAAATTATTCAATTTTATTTCATGTCATGAATAATAAGCAAAAAAAGACTTCTTAAGGGAATGATAACCAATCTTTTCCCGAAACATTAGAGCTTAAATTAGACCGCTAGGTTAAATAGACTGGTGTTTGTAAGAAAGCTCGTGGCTCAATTCTTTAATAGGTGCCTTTCTCTCTTAGCAAGGCAATGTAAATTTTAAAGCGGAAATCGTAACGTAGAGGTCAAAGGTGTTTATGAAGCCAATTTCCCACGTTTATGAAAGTTTTTTCAATTGTTTGCAATAGCTTGGGCTAATTCAAGCGCTAGTCAGCAGTCTGATAGAAACTATTCTTCCGCAACGACGCAGGAGAAGTCAAACAATCTTCAATTTACAAATTTTACCGTTAAGAAGACGTTTCATAAAAACCACCAGGAGAGACAGCAGAAACTCAACAACAATTAGCGTTCAGATAGTAGAGCGCGGGCCTCTTAATTTTTCCCCGGCGTACGATTTACAAACTCGCTCCCCACTACGCTGAACGCCTGTAACAGCCTAAACAACAATGAACTGAAACAGGCGCAGATATTTTCAACGGTATCATCCATTGCATGATCGTATGGCTCTTGTCGTATAACAAGCAGCGATTTCAAATTGGAGCCCCGGGCCAGCTGAATTCGTGATGACAGCTCCGGACGGCATTGCCGACTTAAACGGCGGAAGAATAAAGGTTTCGTTTTAATTGCCTCAAAATTTGCATCAGTATCTGCATTTCAATCAGTCATGCGCGCGCGCGAGGCTAATTTAGAGAACAGTGAAGCATAATATATTAGGGAAATTGATGACTTTTGCAGTGAGCGCCCTCTTGAAAGTATGTTTAATTTAAGGAGCTGGAGTTTGGATATGTTAAAATGAAAAGAAGTAACAACAGCAACATTAACAAAAACGAATGCCCTCTATTATGACTAACTAAAGTCCCTCCATCAGCCGAGGACAAATGTCTGGTACAAAAAATATATATATCGCCGAGTTCTCAGTGACCAAGTTCTCGCGCACATGCCACTTAACATGCACAGCATATTATTATAAGTAGGGTCTGAAAGATTACCGACAACCCGAGAGATTATTTTTATTAGAGGAACATGTTCTCGGTTTTCTAAGTATAAGGAGATTTAGACGGGTAGATGCTAAGTTGGATGCCTCGAAGTACTGGATGAGTAGTTGCCTGAAATTTTTCAAGTTTACTGACCAATTTCGAGACAAAACAGGCTCTTATACATGGACCGGAAATCCTGATAGAAGCAGTTTAGTTATCGACAGTCACACGGGTTCAGTTTAAGAGCAGGGTATCGATCAATGTTCAACTAAAAGTAAGATCAGTTAATTTCCTTTAAGCTTATGGCGAAGTTCCGAAGCAAGATTACTACTTTCACGGCATGCATGTTTAAAGTTTACTACTATGCTGTCAAAATAAACCAAGTTTTTATAAGTGTACTAAAAAGTTCTACTATAAGTGAGCTGGTGTTTAAACTGCAACTGAAGTTACCATCGGCACCATTTGCCCACTGCATAATTGCAAAGTGTTTTTAAGGAGAAAAAGAAGTTCAATTTTTTCAGAAAAAACGCAAAAACAGTTACATTATCTTATTATTTTATTTTTGCCCACGTTTTTATTTAATGGTAAGCGAAACCCCACTAATAAATGTAATGAAATACACCTAAGACGTCATTTGGGTTTTTTTTTTGCCGCGGTGGAAAGTCAATGTTGCGAATCTTCTGTTCACAAATGACACGAAAACGTCTAGACTTCTCATAAACTGATTAAACATGGAAACCTCGATTCATTTAAATGCCGAAAGATTTAGCTAGAAGATTAGAGCAAATTGAAGTCCGTATTAAAGACACTACTGTCTCTCTAAATCCCCTGAGCTTGTGCAACAGTGGCCAGATACTCCGCTCAGCATTGGATGGATTTATAATAATAAAAACGTGTTATTACATTTTTCACAGTCACGCGGTCGGCTTATAGTCTTTTGAATCCCGCTAAGTGTTACTAATACACCGAACAAGTAGTCACTAGAGAAACTGCGGGAAAAAAAGATCTTACATTATTCATCAATTACCGTTCTCTTCCCTAGAGACATGCGTATATGGGCCACCATGCTCTGGTGACGAAGCTAAAAAGAGCCGTAGCGTTCAAATGCTCAAAACAGGGACATCGCTTTTGTATCCCCCCTTTACGGTAGCCTGTATGGTTTCGTCAGCGATACAAGTAACGTAACAGGGCAAACACGGACGACTGATAAGCCTTATGTACTGAAAAACAAACGCCGATGCCAGCGCAAGCAGAAGTACTATCTAAGAAAAGTTTCATGTAGAACAGTTTGGCTATTTCGTCCTCACAAACGTGTCAAATCCTCGGCCATTCTGCCAAAACATCTGAGTTGCTCCTTATTACAACGCCGTCTGCGCGCTGTCCCTTCTTCTGTCATTACCAGTTCGATTGACGTCAATAAGGTATCGGACTGATCCGCGTACTGTTCCAAATTTGGTCAACGCCAGCTGGTTATGGACTGCGGAGTCGAGGGATTTAGGCCAATCGGAAAAGGAGCAATACGAAGTTAAGTCATTTGCTGATTTACTCCCGCGTAATGGATATACAGTCTCACCTTTGGGACCAACAAGAAGTGTCTGTCTTAGACTGAGGTGTCTGTCCAAATAAAGGGAGTACAAAAAGCTTGGTCTAACTCTAGGTGTCCCGTTTTACAGAGGTGTCCGTCTTATAGAGGTGTCCGTTGAGAGAGTCGATTGTAATAGAGTACTATCCATATCGATGCCCATTCATGATTACACTCTCATTTTGCTGTTTTCTGACGTATTGGCACAAATTTTCAGAAACATTTTCACGGGTTAAGTACAATCCCCGGGGGGACTCTGCATATGAAAGGGGTGGGGATGCTCGTCGGAAATTTAGAATTAAACCCCTAAAGCTAAAGGAGACCGATCTGGGCGTGGCCCAAGCTTTTTTTGGCCCCTAAAAGAGACCATGTTAAAACACAGACAATATATATTTTTCTTTATTTTTTCACTCTATTTTCGAGCCTTTTGAGACTAGCCACAAACCCCCGGAGGCAACCCCTTCTGTTTGGTTTAGATGGATATGAGCTGCTGAACAGGGTATGGTTTTCAGGGTTATAATAAGACCAAATGACAGTTTGCTCGATTCAACAATATAAAAACAAAGGCGATGCTCTGTGTCAGGGTATCAACTGTAAAATTTAACTGTCTCTTCAATCAACTCCTCTGGGCCCTGCGCCTGATCCTCATCCTCGGAGACACAGGGGTAGTCAGTCGGGTCGGGAAAAATAAAAAACTTTCTTCGCGCCTTTTCTCCCGACCCGACTGACTCGGGGCCATGCCTGATCCTTGAAGATCCTTGGTTCTAGACCCGGGGGGCACTTGGGTATTGTTATGGTGGGTATGTGCCGCCGGGGACTCCAAATTGGCACCCCGTTCTAGAAAAAATTTCCCCTAAAATTGATACCCCATTCTAGAAATGGGCCAATTTTTTAAACCCCGTTCTAGAATTCGCCCTAAAACTGATACCCCGTTCTAGAAATGGGCCAATTCTTTATACTCCGTTCTAAGGTGCAACAAGAGTACAACGGTTTGCTTGTTAACGCATTGAACCGTATTTTTAAAAGCAATCTGTCCTTGAATAATTTCAAATGGCTTCTTACAAAAGTGTAGCCTGCGAACAGCAGACGCATTTCCGGTCGTCGCTTCTCTCCCTCCGAAAAATAGCTAGCTATTTTTCAGAGGGAGAGAAGCGACGACCGGAAATGCGTCTGCTGTTCGCAGGCTAACAAAAGTGGAGCTTTCGTACGTTCGAAATATTATACCCCGTTCTAAAAAACGCCTCTGAAATGGATACCCCGTTCTAAATCAGGAGCTTCAAAATCACGACCCCTTTGGGCGGCACACACCTGTATAGGTAATGTATGGGAGTACCCCCCCCGGGGGGGGGGGTTGAGACGTATTGAGGGAGACCAAGAGGGAGACACATATTTTCAACTACATGACGCTCACTTTAGGGTGCTCGCGAAGAGCCTGGAGAAGAGCGGGATTTTCAACATGGCGGCTGCAAAGCCGTGGTTTTACACTATAAGAAAGCATCGAAAAAAGTCTATAGCTGCTGCATTGTTCGCTGGCTGGCTGACAAATTATGGAGTTAATAAGTATAGGTAATCTAGAGGTGGAAAATATTTTGGTGTTAGTAGCTACAGAACGTAGCCTTGATCATGAATTAACAGCCTTGTTTGTGTCTATTCCTAACAGAGAATACATGATAAGAAGGGAATTGTGCCTGGAAGCAAAGGTAAGTGATTCAAGAAATTTTTTTTTCTTTTAAGAATTATATTTGGTTGCAAGGAATTTGGTTGAAAAGTTCAGAAGAGGTCAATCCAATCACAATTCATTAAAGATAGGGCTCTTGACAAACTGTTCGACAGTAATTTGCTTCCTAAGTGTAGCTGCTGTGATCGGCTCAAGGATTTTCTAATTTCATTAATTTTAGTACAGCTAAATAAAAGCACTCTAGCTAGCTTACCTGTAAGTACTGATGTTTTCTTGCTGATATCTTCACTCTAGCAGTACAACCTATTTTTTTCCATAAAATGATGGCTCTGGTGGATCTTAAGCGTGATATCAAATGCTGGAGTCATTTTAAGTGTAAAAAATAATTATCACCTGATTGAAAGTTGCTCAGTAGCTTCAATTTTTAACAAGAATAATATTAAAAAATTTGATTTGAAGTAACTTAACAGTGTAGTTATGGCATTTATTTGAAGGTTATTTAAAGTGCTTTAAGTTCACTGAGCTTGTAATTAATTTGGGCTAAACTGTGTGCTACTCTTGCTCCCACTGACTCTGAGCCCTGTGACTTAACTTTGATTATAGGTTTATGGTGAGACAACACTGCCATCTCTAAAGAAACCGAGGAGACTGACATTGTTTTTCAATCCAGCAGCTGGAAGGTAGGTATAGCAACAGTCAGAACATCCTGAAAACAAGATGCTTCATATTTTACAGCTTGCAGATGTTGAAAATAAATTTTATTTGCATACAAAAGCAGTGTCTCACAAACAATTATACAATCGGCGACAAAATTGTTGAGACATTGTACTCAAATAGGCTAACTTCTGAAACATAAGAATCCACACCCCTCCCCTGTCCCCTCCATTCAAAGCTGGGATGTTTCTTGTTTTCTAAAGGTAGCTCGAACAGTGGAACAACATTGCATGGAGGGGATGGGGGAGGAAACGCTACCTTTTCCCCTTTTGAAGTCCGGATAACGTCAAAAAGTCCATTTAGGGCGAAGTGTCTCAACTCATTTTGTCGCCGATTGTAGGTGGCTAATTATCCCATGTGAGACTGAGAGGGCATTGCATTGCAAGTGTTTTGTATTTGGCTGCATTTTCATCCTCAATTAGAGAAGTGCAATACTTTATACTGTACATGTATGTAAGACACTATGTTACAACTATGTTTTCATATTTTTGTATTTCTATATCCATCATAAAAAAATTAGCACCAAAGACAGTCCTTAGCCACAAAGCTCTCAGAAACCTCTTTCTTCATTGGCCTCCAAAAACAAACCTGCTATTGTTTTTAGAGGTATTGTTTGGCTCATTTATCTGTTGTTATGTTGCGCTAAGGAACAGCCTGTTCTGAGAGCTTCGTGGTACCTTAAACAACTGGCCAAAAAGCTACAGGGTTATTGTAAGCTATCGGTTTTAACCTCTATATAGAATTAATTTATTATTCATGGTGGGTGCTCAGATATATTTGCCAAATATGCTAAAAAGAAAACTTGGAAATTAAACAGCTATTTACATAAAATTCCTTCTTTTTTCCCCTTTTAGTGGAAGTGCTGATACACTTTTAAAGAAAAATGCTGAACCTATACTTCATATAGCAGGCCTAGACATAACCATTGTTAAGGTACCGTGTACTTAAACATTTTTTATTTATTAATAATAATAACTCGTGGTTATTAAGCTAAATTCTCAGTAAGCTTTCTCTTCAAGTCTGCCTATGAAATTCTACCATTCAAATCAGATGAAAGCTGTCAAGATTGCTTTCATGCTATTATTGCTTAATATCATGCTTTTAATTTTCCTGATGTTTATTCTTCACCAACTACTTCAAAACTTTTACCAGATATGTCCAGGGAAGCAAATGTATGGGATTCAGGTACTTTTATATGATAGACATGCCCTAATCCTCATCTAAACACAAGGAATTAGAACTGTCTGCATATAAAGTCAATGGAAATAAAAAATATTGTGTCTAATATGAAGTTCCTATTAAATTTCCAAGTTTTCTTGCACTTCTGGACTTGTACACAACTGTAGAGTACTTGATTTATCTTGTAAAAAATGCTAAGTTTTTGAGGATGGAAAATTATTTGACAAATATGGCATGCAAATGTTCTTTTTTCAGACAGATTATGAAGGGCAAATTAAAACCTTGACACAGTATATTGATCCAAAAACAGATGGAATTATTGTTGCTGGAGGAGATGGCACTCTGCTTGAGGTGAGAAGCAAGATCTTGTATCTTACATATCAAATTTCCTGTTAATGCAGGCTAGATTTTCAAAACAAATATAACTTGAGGATTTAAATTTTTAAAGACCTGTTTCGGATGTATCAGCATCTATCGTCATGCTTCAAGGATCTTAACAAAATAGTGGCAAATAATATATAGTTGTATACAGTTGAATAACAAAGGTGTCAATAATATTATTATTCATTTGGCACTCTTTATTACATACTATACATTATAATAACAAAAGTAAGTAGATACAAAATGACATTCTACTTGGCAAGTATAGAAGAAAATGTGGATACGAATGACATTATACATTCTGTACAGAAAAAAAAAACACAGAATTGAAAAAACAAAAGGAAGTATAACTCTTTGAGTTAAGGGTGGGTCATTCCCATGCACTGTTTAGGGCTTCTATGATTTTACTTAAATAAGTTGGAAAAGAGTGGGAGATGAGTCCAGGTTGGAAAACCAAGGCCCAGAACAGAACAAAGATTCTAATACATGGCACCAAACCCTGCATGAATGTGAGAATTATGATTTAAAACTTAAATGCTAGCAAACCCAAATGGCACCAAACCCTTTTTGAATGTAAGAATTGTGATCTAACAATTAAACACTAGCAAACCCTTGAGCCAAAATGTCTGGTGGTCTCACTGACACAGCAAGCCTAATACAGCCTGCTGATGTATATATTATACTTCTAAACCACCTAAGAATGTAGTGCATCATGTGGATCATAATTATATTTTAACTCTAAACTTGCTACCATTATGTAACTTTATATGCATGTAAGAAGTAAATTAAACCTGATGTCCAGATTCTTACAATATTTCAACATTGTGCTAAAAGGAAGAAAGTGCAGATAACTGGTACTAATTTGAAAAACACCTTAATGCTGAAATAAAATAATTAATAATGTCTTCTTTGGGTAGATGAGTCAGGGCCACCCAACAACCAAATGGTTCTAAATACACCAGAAGTGTCTCAAATGGTTTTCTCTGTACTTCAGAAGCCTGTTTGGCTAATTTGGAGTTGCCCTAAAAACTATTTATCTGTTCAGATGTCTTAGGCGAACTTTGGTCATCATAAAAGTTTTAGGTGGCTTTTTCATCTCATCAGAAAGCGTTAGCTACCTTTATGGGTCTGGTGGAAAGTACGAGGACATGAAGTAGCCATGCTTCCTTTAGAAAATTTTAGGGTACATTAAAGTCTTTACACCAAAAGTTTTTATAGGAGACCCTTTTTTAACAACAATCGCAATATCTTGGTATTAAAAATAAATGGGACTAACACAACCTACGAAAATCGTAGTTGAGCTGTTAGAAAATGTCCGAATATTTTAGACAAATGGAACGGTTATCTAGGAAGTTTTCACTTTTCACCAGCTTTAGAAACTTCTCGGCAATATTTGCTCCTTCGAACAGTCATTTTACAGAAAAAAGTCGCTGGGTGCCCCTGATGAGTTGAGAGGTTGTAGAACTTAATCTGAAGTACTGTTTAAAAAATGAGCTGGAATGTATTATAAGGTTAAAAAACTTGAGGTGAAGCTGAGAGTTTTTAAACCTGATAAAACACCACTGTGATTTTTTTGAGTGGCTTTAAAATCTCTTATTTAGATCAACTCATTCTGGTACTAATATTTAGATTTGGGGTTATTTTGGTCTAAAAAATTGGATGTATAGTTTAGCTGTGCCTAGACAGAAAGACACTCATTAAACATTGATTTCTTTAATTTGTGTATTCTTAATGAATTACATTTGTGTAATGTAGATGTAAGGTAGATGTAATTTGCCACCCTTTGAGAAACTCTGGGAGAAACTATTTTTCAACAGAATGCATGGATGTTGGATGTCTGCAGTGTGTAAACCACTTCTGATTTTTCCCATTGATGTCCATCAAATGACATCCCTTCTGTTGAAAAATGTTTTTCCATGCAGCATTAACAAAGCCTGGGTAAAAAATCATGTGTCTTTTTCCTTGTTTGTGGCTTTAGGTCGTAACAGGATTGCTAAGACGGAGTGATCAGGTACATTATTTCACATAATAGTCTGCCTACTTCGACCTCTGCTTGTTATTTCATTTTACAGTTTTTGTTTGAAAGGTAATATTAACAGTATTATTTAAATTTCTGTTTTTGTTTGCCAGGAAGAAATTTCTAAGATTCCCATTGGAGTGATTCCTCTTGGAACCCATAATTCATTCTGTAACAGACTTTTTGCCAACAAACATGTGGCAGAGGCAAGGTAGGAGAAGTAAATTTTAACTTACATGTTACATGACGTGTACAGTTTAGTAGAATACAATGTATTTTGCTCATTTATGTTGACTCTGTGACGTGACATTACATCTAAGGACATTCTACTTTTCCCTAGAACTATTGGAAATGCAGCATTGGCCATCGTCAAAGGTTACATCAGGCCAGTGGATGTGATGGAGATTAAGGTCAGTTTTTATCATGATTGAAACTGGAAATATCATAATGCGATCAAACACATGTAGTATGTGAATGCATTGATTTAATTAATTTTAGGACTCTGCATGGACCCAGTAGCTCAAACGACAATATTATTAACACAAACCTAAATAGTTAAACATTTTCACCCTTATACTGAGGATATATTTAACAATTATTCCTCGAGCCTGAATGGGCTCTGAGTCAATAGCTCATGAGGCCGGAGGCCGAATGGGCTATTGACTCAGAGGCCATGAGGGTGAGAGGAATAATTGTTTCAGTAAAATCCAACTAGTTGGTCAAAAATATCGAGAATAAAAAAAATTAAGCTAGTTAAAGCTAGACTTTAATCCTTCTTTGCCGCCAAAAAGCTCGTGCTTATGGCTACTAGTGGGCTATAACATATAGCCTAGTAGTAGCTCAACCAATCAGAACGTAGCACTGATAATAGACCACTAGCTGGATTTTACTAATAAATATTATAAGTTAAAATTTAACTAGGTGAGTAAAACCTTAACTATACAATGTATTTTATACAATTATAGGTTTCAGTTACTTGGTTACTTCCTGACTGTAAATGATGAAAGTTTGTACAAAATAATATTCAGTTAGCCCTCGGCCCGTACCTTTAATCAGTACTGTGATATTCACATATTTACACTACAATTTAATGACAAACATTATTTTGTTTAGGCCCCAACGTACGGTTCAAAATTTTGCTTGTCAATTTATTATTGAACAAATTTGGGCATCCATAGAGGCAGCTTTCCTTTCTTTTGTTTCAGGGTGATGAAGGTCGTTCAACTTTTGCGATGTCTAAGCTTCAATGGGGTGCTTTTAGAGATGCAAATGAAAAGCAAGACAAGTAAAAAGTTTATTTACATTATTTACATCCAATACTTGAATTATTATTACCAGGCAGCTTTGCTTCTTTCTTTCTGAGAACAGGCATCCACAAATTTTAATAATTAAAATTTTCTCTTGGGAAGTTTTTTTGTTGTCTAGTTGTGTACACACTGCCCTTTCTGGGAATTATTTTCTTGAATCAAGGGAACCCCTAATCCTGACAACCCTGGTCAGTGTACTGAACCCATTATGGGCTTAGAAGGAAAAACAGATTATTAATTTTTATTCAATAGTGGACCAGTAAAGATGAAATAACCATTAAACAGTAGTTTAACCTTTTACCATCCAGGAGTGGTTTAACACTGACTCTGACTAGTGTATATGGGCTTAGAAGGAAAAACAGATTATTAATTTTTATTCAATAGTGGACCAGTAAAGATGAAATAACCATTAAACAGTAGTTTAACCTTTTACCATCCAGGAGTGGTTTAACACTGACTCTGACTAGTGTACCAAGAACCTTGATGAATTGTTTGTTAGAACAGGCTGGGGTATACAAGTATTAGTGGCAGCGTGTAAAGAAAGTCGTCTCTGATAGCCCAGGGCTAGTGGATTTTGCTATCGGGCTAGCGTACAGACGTATTGTAATCAATCCTGCTAATCAAAAAGGGTTTTGGGGCTAGTTGAAATGACTTGTGGTACATTCTAGCTACAGCTTGCCCAAATGGCAGGCTGTAATACTGACTTTCTTTGCACCCTGAGTGGTATATCAATCACTATAAACTGGGGTCCTGTTCCATACATTCTGATTTCTACATGTAACCCTTTAAACCCTAAATTTGCATTTTGCCCCAAACATTTCCTATGAAAGAAGTGGGGATTGAACTGTTGACTTTTTTTTACATGTACATGTATCCCCTAATTATGGTGGCCCACAACTGTCATGGCAAAACCAAAAACCTCACGGCAAAAACAAAATACCTCACGGCAAAACCGAAAACCTCACAGCAAAAACAAAAACCTCACGGCAAAACCAAAAATAGCCCACGTGGCAGGCGTTTGAAAAGGAAGAGGAAGGGAATTTGGGCGCGAACGAAGGCTAAAGCAAAAACCTCACGGCAACAACAAAATACGTCATGACAAGACCAAAAACCTCACCGCAAAACCAAAGACCTCACAGCAAAACCAAATACTTCACAGCAAAAACCAAATACCTCACGGCAAAAGCAAATTCCCACGTCAAAACCAAAGCTATTTTGCTTTTGCTGTGAAGTATTTGGTTTTGCTGTGAGGTTTTTGGTTTTGCCGTGAGGTATTTTGTTGTTTTACCCCTGAGGTTTTGGGTTTTGCTGTGAGGTTTTTGGTTTTGCCGTGACAGTTGTGGGCCACCATACCTAATGCTTGTGACCACTCTGTTTTATAAGCATACCAGCTACATGTTTGACAAGGAGGAATTTGGTGGGATGATTGTTCTTAGTTGCCAAATGAAAAAAAAAAAAAAGAAAGATACAATTTTGTAAATTTAATAGCAAAGTGCAAAAGTTGTGACAGGATTTCACCCACAGATTAAAGACAAATAATTTTCATTTGCCATATAAATAATATTGTGGTCTGGGAGTGAAGGGAATTTAGATCATAAATGGGATTTCATAGGGGTTCTTGACATGACTGTGTATCAGGGTTTTACTGTGCTTCAGTGTGCAAAGAAAGTCCTGTCTGATAGCCCAGGGCTAGTGGATTTTGCTACCAGGCTAGTGTTTTTTGTTCTTAACTTGCCAGACGAGCAAGTGCTGTTTTTTTTGGGGGGGGAAATTCAAATTACAGACGGATTGTAATTAATCCTGCTAATCAAAAAGGGTTTTAGGGCTAGTTGAAATGACTTGTGGGCTAGTATATGCTAACTACAGCTTGCCCGAATGGCAGGCTGTAAACCAGACTTTTTTTGCACCCTGGTGCTTATTAGGCATTTTGATTTAATAAGGAACTTATATCAAATACTTGTTTTATAAGGTTTTGGATGGCTGGCCCCTTCAGGAGGAAAATGTCATACCTTGTAGCAGCTTTCAAGGTGTGTAGAAAACAGTGTGGGTTATACTCTACGAAATAAGGCTTTAAAGACTGAGCATAAGTAACCAATTCAAGGTTTATGGGATTCTCTCTTGTGCAAATCAATTTAAAAACTCGTCATTTTCTTTTAAGAGTCCTTGGAGTAATTATTGATATTGTGAATATAAAGAAGAGAGGTGCACAATGTCACAAAAATTTTTCAAATTTGCTAAATCATGGGATTGGTTAGCATATTCAAAAAGAACAAGATGAAAAAAGTCCCCTTGCCAAAAATCAGCCTGTTTAAGTGCAAATTGGTGCGTAGATATAATCACTGGTTTGCTCTGATGATGCCACACAAATCCTTCTAGAATTGGCTTGGATTGAAATGTTAACAATCCAGGCCTGTTTTAGAAGGATTCTTACAGGGTCATCAGAGCATAACATTGCTTACAATGTATATCTCCTCACCAATTTGCAGCTGCTTTTTTGCAAGTGAACATTTTTCATCTTGTTCTTGCTGGATATGCCAATCATTCCCATAATTTCACAGAGTTGGTTTTTGTGATGTCATCACTTCTGTTCTCTTTGTTTGAAAATCATAAACTGTATTTGGACATATCTGATGCTTTTCATAAGTTACTCTTTACTTTTAGGAATGGCCTCCAGTTGTTAATACCCTCCTTACTTACCCAACAAACCAGCTAGTAGAGAACAACAGGTCATTGAAGAATACATCATCAAGCCCATTGGGGCAAGTTGCATCCCATGTTCTGGCTACAGCTAACTGCGAGACAACCATTGAACCACAGGGAAGGCATCTTCTTGCAGAAGCTGGTAGCATTGTCTCAGATGGATGGATTGCTAGTCCTGTTCAAACTTTTGGTCTTACTGTGAAGCCATTCAGGAAAGCAGGTGCACAGGTATACATTGTACAATGTACCATAATATAACTTGATGAAACGAAGAAAAACAAACCGACAGAAAGACACTCTTCGCAAAGCAAGCCTATGGGTTGCCTGGAGAGCCACAATGCACCTTGATGTCAAGATGGACACCAACCAAACTCGATAGACTCATAGCAAAGAGATGACTGCACCTGGCTTGCAATCCTCATGGGAGTCATACGTGTTGCAAATTGCGACAAAATTTGAAACTCGCTTTCGCAAGGAATAAATAATTATTAATAATGACCCAAATAACACTGCATGACCTGTAGATTTTAGGATTGGTTACTCTGTGTGGGTACAACTTCACAATAATTTTGTTTAATAAATCTGTAGGACGACAGTTTTCTTGAAGTGAAATTATGGCCATCAGACCTCACAAAGACAGAGTTTATCGAAACTGGGTAAGTCATCAAATCCTTGGCAAGTCTTTTTCTATTCTGATTTGTTAATAAAATTAAAAATCTAAAACAAACATATGGAAGTTTCCCTTTCCAGTTAACATGGGTTCAATGCTTTTTTTAGCACAATAGCCTTGCAAAATTACACAGCCAAGTTATGATCGCCTGTCTGGAAAATGATACAGTTTTATATAATAATTATTTAAATTTAATTTTTTAAAAATTCTTCACACAACAGATGGAAGATGGAAAAGATGGAAAAGGAAGAAAAAGAAGGAAGCTACAACCAAGACAATTCCTCAAGTAATGTATTTTGTATTCCCAGATGCTTTTAATCATTGTGTTTGTGCTTCAGGGTTGCAAAAAACCTTGTGATTGTCCTGGACAAAAAAAGTAGACCCAAGCAAATTTTCCTGTTCGGCAAGCAACTTTTGGTAGCTTATGGGAAAAAGCCCAGGCAAATCACCTTTTTATTTAATCACAGACTTTCAAAAAAGCATGCAGAGGCCCTTAACAAGCAAAGTATTGAAGCTCTTGTTTATCTTAGGGACCAGCTGAAATTCAAATTTTCTTCAGTCTCTGATGCTCTAAGTTGTTAGAGATGAACTGTCAGTATAGTAGCTGTCATTTTTATTTTGTCAACCACTTAACTATAAAAGCAAACAGTGATGCTTAAAAAAACATTATATTATCTTCTGCAGGACACAGATGTTTGATTGTAAAACAACTGAAGCTGGAACCCAGGGATGAAAAGGTTGAGTTTTCTTGACAGATTATTTGTTTCTTTTTTTTTTTTTGGCATTTTTCAATGGTCTTAAAACAATATTTTCTTCAGCGTGTTATTGAAATTCAAAGCTTCTCATATAGTTATTTCCCTTTTTTGTAGGTCTCATGGTTTTCTATTGATGGTGAGCCATTTGAAGCCAGGGCAATAACAATAGACCTTCTACCCAAAAAACTCCACTTTTTCTTTAATCCAGAAAAGCCAAATGTGAATTTTTTTTACAGTTGATGAAGTTAGTAGGACATATTTTTGGAAGCTCATCTGATGGTAAGAGATTGTACCTCCTGCCGGAAAAGTGACTTCACAGCAGAATCATAGCAGTAACTCCTCCACATGTACATACAGGAAAACGTTCTCAAGAAGACTGTTTCATGAACTAAGAAGATTTATGTTTGTACTCTAAAGGGGAATTGCGTGGTTAAGGAGAATCATACACTAAGAAACTACAGTACTGAAGTATAACAGTTACTGCAACCAAAGAACAGTTACTGCAATGGACACACATTATAATCAGTTATTTACATGTATCCTGTTTTATAAACTGTACATGTAAATAAAAATAAATGAAATAAAAAATTTTGAAAACATTTTTATTGACATTTGACATGGAAATTATTAAAAATTTTCATTCCAGAATTTCATTACTGTCTGTATTGGCATTTTACTGTTAAAATAGGGAATTTTCTCCTGTTATGGTTGACATTAAAGATGATTAGTGACCAAACGAGACAACAAAAAGAAAAAAGAAAAAAAAGGTGCATACTCCACTGAGAGGGCAATTAAACTTCGTTTAGATACACTGTATGGCTTGATTATTTTTCCCTTTTTCTGACATTATTTTTCTTTATTCCACTTCTGCTTAGATGTTATGGAGTTGTCAATAACAATATTTTGTTGCAAAATAATACCTAGAATGTACCTAGAATCTGGAAAACCTGCTTGTTTGACATAATACTGGGAAAGCATGATACCAACAAAAAAATTCTAGTTTCTTTAAAACCATATTACAGTATGCCTTAACTCATCTTTTTAACATAGCTGCAGATCTTTTAAATAAAATGTCTAATTGATTAATAAGAGAATATCAGAGCCACATCTCAATATTACTGAGTATAAAATTTCCTTATATGCCTCAATGTTGAAATATTTGAAGACTTTAAGGCTTCAGATAGAATTCTGTTTGTATAGTGCTTGAGGTTTGATCGAGGGCATCCTTAAAATGTCGCTTTGTAATTAGTCTCCTTTGCAGGCATGACTGTCCTGGTCTAACCATTACAAAAGGAGTTGCCTATGAAGGAGGTTGCTACATAATATTAAATGTCTCACAATTCAGCATGGCTTAATCTTGGCCCTCTTTTCTTTTTCTCTTTTTTCTTCTTGCTTTTCTTTGATATACTTTCTTGTTCGCTGTTCTCTTTATTTTTTTGCTGAAAGAAAATTGAGGCAAGCCCAAATTTAACTTCTACAAATAGGTGCTTATTAAATATGCAACATTGACTATGCATGAGGTCAAGATGGTTTGGTATATATTGGCCTCATTTTTTTTCATTTCTGTGGACTGAGACAAAGTTGAGATGGATAAAAATGCAACAAAGAATTCATGAATGAGGTCAATATCTAGTTATCTTGACCAATGAAACAAAAAGAGAACTTTTTCTTGCTCGACCAACAAGGAAAATCCCAAGTGGGCAAGAGCAGCCACCTTGCCCACACTGGTAGCCAATCAGTTGACAGGATTTGCCTTATCTTGCCCGCTTGTGGATTCCGCCATATAATTATAATGATAAAGCTTTGTTGCAGGTTCAAATTGATCAATATCCCTTTGAGAATGCTTTTAAGTAAAATTAGGTACCTTCACAGCCACCTTGGTGGACAGACTCAGTAATAACACAGTGGCATTAAAAGGACACAACATTTGAAATGATGACAACCTCTGAATTTCCTGCCTTACTGTCTTTAGGTTTTTATTATTTGTTTCAGCAAAAATACGTGCTAAACTAGTAAATCTTATTTTTTGCAAAAGTTGAAAACAGTTAAAAAGCTAAGAGCACAAAACCTTAAAATTCAGTTTAAAATATTAATATTAACAATAAAAAAAATTACATTAAATTGCTACAGTAACTTTGTATTTAAAAAAGAGCTATTGACAAAACTATTTTTAGGCACTCACCAGGGTATTAACCCTAGGGAATTAGCTGCTTGGAACTCGGAGGTGCACAGAGCTTTCTTTAGTTTTTGGGAGGGATTAGGATACAAAGGGTGGCTGGGCATGCTTGAGATCTTTTTCAATAGCACGCAATCTACTTTTTCTAAGACATCATATAATATGTAATTTGGACTGTTGTTAATTGAGATTTTGAGGACGCATATAATTAACTTTATAAACGAAGAACATGAGCCAGTTTCAGTAAAACTACTGTGTTTGTAAGTTTTATTCTGTAGCATGGCCTTGTACTTAAACCAGCTTAAAACTGGCCTAGCTGTTTTAATTTACCCAGTTTTAAAAGACATTTTTACCAATACAGCGGCCATGTTGAATTAATTTGATTTAAGAAGTATTATAGGATGCCCATGGGACATGAGCACATTTCGTTTGTATTTTCGAGCGCTTTTCGGGACATTTTTTCTTATAGTTTTCCTAGAATAAGATTGTTAAGGGAAAAAAGATCCTTGTGCCGTGTTTGGATGTAAAAATGATCGCCTTTTTCTAGTTTAGTATTAGAAATATGGTCTTTCACTGTATATTTCTCGGGAAAAAGGCGATCATTATTGCATGCAAACACGGCACAAGGATCTTTTTTCCCATTACAATCTTATTCTAATAAAGCTTTAAGAAAAAATGTCCCGAAAAGCGCTTGAAAATACAAACGAAATGTGCTCACGCCCCCTGGGCATCCTATAATACTCCTTAAATCAAATTGATTTAATATGGCCGCCGTATCGGTAAAAAGGTCTATTAGAGACAGAGTTGCACATACCTCTTTCTTTGCTTTTTTTCTGTATGGATTTATATAATTAGGATCCCTTGGTACGAGCCTCAATTCCTGGGCCATCTAAATTATCATGAATAGAAATGCCAATTATTCAATGTAGCCCTATGATAATTAATTACTACTCAACTGCAGGGCTAGCTGCAAAAATAGAACAATAATCTTGTCTTTTCTCTAGTGAATGCCTTTGTTTACTGGCAGCTGCAGAAAAATCAAATTTGAGTTAACTTGCGTGTTTCCAAGGAGGTTTAAAATTAAATGGTGTTTCAAAAACTCTCATAGGCAACAATTATTGACATCTACATGATAACAATAAAAATTTTAAAGTCTCAGCTTTTACAAAGACGCTGTAATTTCAAGGGTGGGAATGTCGGGTCATTTGACATGTTCTACTAAATAAGTTTAAAGATCAAAACAAAAAGAACAACCCTAGAGTACGAGTAGTCCCCCATTTTTCCTCAGGGATAGTAGAGCAAGCGATAGG